CACTAATTTGTAAGTGAAAAGAGATTTTCTCTGTGTGTTTCAGAAGCTGACAAGAACCATGGGAAGGAAATTTTTTAATGCATTCGATACATGAGCATAAACAAGTCACTAGCAGCACTACCAATGAGAGGTAGAGGCTGCTTTAAAAATAACAAGAATCTAAAATAGACAAATCTGGAGACACAGAAAGTATACTAATTATTGTCAGAGGATGAGTGAGGGGAGGGGACAGGAAATGCGGAATGAGTGTTCTGAATATGGTGCTTCTCTTGGTGTTGATGAAAATGTTCTGGAATTAGAAAAGTGGTCATAGTTGCATAACCTACTTTGTGAATATTTTTTAAACCATTGAATTGTACACATCATTTGTATACCTCAATTAGGGGCAAGAATGATAGTATAGTGTGTAGGGGACCTTCTTTACATGTGGTTCAGTTGCCAGCAACCATTAGATTTCCCCCAAACCTATTAGGAGTGACCCCTGAGCACAGAGACAGGAATCAGCCTTGAGCACTACTGAGTATGGTCCACACACAAACAAGACAAGTATATTTCAATTTAAAAATGACTGCTCTTTATTATTGTAGCTATGTCAGCTCTTATGACATAGACTTAAGTGTTTTTTTTTCCTCAGTCGAAATGTTTCTTTTTCATAAAGAAAGGAAGTTTTTATTAAAAGATGCAAGGGAAGAGAAAGGGAGAAGTACATGTTTTAGAGAGAATACAGGCTTGTACAGATTAGAGATAGCCAGCAAAGAAACGTCAAGACAAATAAGTGAAATATGTGTTCAAGGGAGATACACGGGCTTGCAGAGCAAGCCTAATTCTTTTCCTTTTTTTCTTTTGGATCTAATATGTGTTGAGTGATCACTATTTACTGTGCCAACTTGTCAGGAGTCATGGGATTTCATTCTTAAATTTCTACATGCTAATCCTAATTCTAGAGCTGGAACAATAGTACAGAGGGTAGGGCATTTGCCTTGCATGCAGCTGACCCGGGTTCATCCCTCTTGGAGAGCTCGGCAAGCTACCGAGAGTATCCCACCCACACAGCAGAGCCTGGAAAGCTCCCCGTGGCACATTTGATATGCCAAAAAACGTAACAAGTCTCACACTGGAGACATTACTGGTGCCAGCTTGAGAAAATTGATGAACAACTGGAGCACAGTGCTACAGTGCATCCTACTTGTTATTTTATTTAAGAATAAATGGAGTGTCCAAAGGATTAACAATCCCAAATTCAATACCCAGCACCCTGTATGGCACACTGTCAGAAGTGACTTCTGAGCCAGGAGTGGGGGCACCCCTCCAAAAAAAGATTCTGGGTAAAAATTTAAGGTTTCTGGAAATAAAGATTATTCTTGACCTTCTGGATAGGACCAATGAAATTACAAAGGTTTCATTGCCTAAATCAAATGAGGGGCCACAGAGACAGAGTTGCAACCATATATAAGAGCCTGCTTGCTGGCTTTGAAGATGGAGATGATATATTGCAAACAATAATACCCAAGACTAGAGAGAGAGTATGGGGGAAATTGTCTGCCACAGAGGCAAGGGCAAGGTTGGAAAGGGCGGGGGGGGGTGGTAATACTGGGGACATTGGTGGTAGAGAACATGCACTGGTGAAGGGATGGGTGTTCAATTATTGTGTGACTAAAAACCAAACATGAAAGTTTTGTAACTGTATCTCACGGTGGTATTTATTCAATGTAAATAAATAAATAAATAGATAAATAAGATGGAAAAAAAAACAACAAAGGATTAACAAACTTGTCCATAAATTTAGGTCAGAAAATGTAGTTTCAGAACTTGAATTCAGATCCATTCAGCTTGAAAGCTAATTTTCCTTATCCTGTATTCTACGCCTCTATGACTAGCAGAATGTTTCATGTACTCTGTCAAATTAAACATGAAGTTTTTTTTATTCATCCTACTTTCTCATCACTGCACTCCCTTCATCATAAACATATCAATGGCACCTTTGAAAAGTATTCCTGAAATCTCTTCTCTCTAATGCCAAAGAACATTCCTTTGTGTGCCTGTTGGTTTCCATTGACTCCAAGCTCCTGGTAGTATTGTCCATCCAGTTTTCATTTCATATTGTTGAAAGCTAATTTTTAAGGTCCAAACATGGTTACAACATTGCCGTGATTGAGTCTTCAAAAATGTGCTTAATAAATGAGATGAAATGCAAACTTCTCAAAAAGACACAAAGTTTTTATCAAATATCTTCATTCTATATGTTTAGGCTCCTCCTCCACCTCACCCCCCAATCTCTTCCTCTTTCTGCTATTTTGTCTTGCCTATATATTCTGTTTATTTTCAGGAGACAACTGCCATCCCCCATCCCATAAAGGATATTCAATTTAATTAATCAGGTTTTCATATAGGAATTGTTTATACATTTAAGAAACACTCCTCCCCCCCAAAAAAAATACATATGCATGCACTCCCTTCAGTCAGAAACCCAAGCACAAAAATCTGTAAGTCTACAACCGTACCTCATGGTGTTTCACTAATAAAAATTTTAAAAAATACTGATAAAATCTTTATGGTACTATAAGGTTTCCTGGTTTTGATGATGAATAATTCAGTTTCCTGGTTTTGATGATGACTAATAGTTGAGCAAGTTTTTACTAGTGGATAAAGTTGAATGAAAGTTATGCATGCCCTCTCCACAGTATTTTTAACTGCTGTGTGGATTTGTATTTCTACAAACTAAAAAGTTTTTTTTTAAATTCATACATTTGAATTTTCTGCTCAGAAAGCCAACTAAAAAAATAAAGCAGGAGGTACTCTATACCTTAAATTTATATATTATGTTAGTACATGACTTTTCTTTCTTGCTCTTTGGGTGGGAGTTACAAAGTATAAACAGCAATTTAACCTTGGGAAGTAGACCAAAGACTGGCTTTTCAGACTAAGCAGACCCAGTGAATTCCAATTCTGCTGTTTTATAAACTAATGAACATAGGTAAGTCACTTAGCCCTCAATGCATTTCATCATAACTATAATGCATATGGCAAGACCTACTTCTTTCATGTTTAAATATATTTAACTAGATAAAATATGTAAACAAGATAAAATAAAGAAGATATAAGGCCTTAAATTATTAACTTTACTTTTTCTCTTGTTCCACATCAGCAAGTCCAGGTTGTTGGAGCTTTTGAAATGTGTTCAAACTCCTACCACTTCTCACCTCTACCCTGATATCATCTTAGTCAAAACTACTATTATTTACTGCCTGAATTACTTCAACAATTTCTTGAATGATTTTCTTGTTTCTTCCCCAATTCTCACCCTCTATCTAATCTGAACACAGCAATGAGAAATAACTTGTCAAAATATAAATGGAATCATCTTATACCCCCCTTTTCAAAATCCTTTCACTGAGTAGAATGCAGAACCTTTATAATACACTCCACAGTTTTCTTCTCCCTCACTTGCTCAAAACCTGAAAACCCTCTAGTTGAAACTCTGTGAAACTCTAGTTGAGAAACCCTCGAGGTTTTGTTTCCAATTATTAAAAAGCGCTCTGAAATCATTCTCAATGAGGCCAAACTAATCATCTTATTTAAAGCTGAAACTTCCAGTATTTCTTCCTTTGTTGGTCTCACACTTCTTACTGCTTTTCAGCTTGCTGTGTAATTTAACTTATTGTCAACCTTCCCCAACAAGAAACCCAGATTCATTGAAAGCTTGTAGTTCTATCTGTTTTGTTCATCACTGTTTTCCCCAGTGTTAAGAATAGTTGGCACAGTGGTGTAGCTCTAATTGAATGAATGATTGCAGCAGTGTAACAAGAGCAAAGTCACAGAAGTGTGGAGGATTAGGGGACTTTTGGGAAACTGAGAACGGGTCAGTTTAATCAGAATTAAATACATGTAATAGGAAGGTGAGACACAAAGCTGGAGGGTTTGGGGACATAGCTCCATGCCAGAGAACATGCTGGAATGCCTAGGTTCAATCCCCAGTACCTCCTGCACAATCCTGACCACATATGCCTTCCCGCTAGCAAAACAAAAACAATAAACAAAAGCAAGCTGGAGACAGGGCCATTTCCATGGTTATTTGATATGTGAAACCCCATAGGTCTCCATGGAAAAGCCTCAACCTTGGTTAAATGCTCAGCTGTTGACAATTGAAATTCTTAAACATTTTTTAAGAAGGGCCCTGCACTATATATTTCACTAGGCCCTACACATTATTCAGCCAATTCTAGTTGGAGTAGAAAAATATCCAGGGGTCCCGTATGCTGTGTGAAGAAAAAGTGACAGGCCACATTTGTGTCTTAGGATGTGGAGCTCCTAATTTAGAAGTTCGAGTGGAGAATCTGGAAATATTATGTCAGTTAACATTTTCCACTCATGCTGTAAGACCCTCTGAAATGTTACCATCCCCCCCCCACGAAAGCTCTAAATTCTACTTTAGACAGAGGCAACAAATGCCCTCTAGAATTTTCTGGGCATATTGCTAATAAATTTCTGCTAGTGTCAAGGTGTTATATTTACATGCAAACAAAATCTATCGATTTTAAAACAGAAGTTTCTTAAGGTGTTCACATCTTATTCCATTTGGGGGGGGTTGTTTTTGGGCTCTATATTTGCAAATAAAATAACCATGGGAATGTAAAATTATGTCCTATTATTTATTTATTATTAAATGATTAATAATTATTTTATTGTATATATTATTGATATATCAATATTTACATAATATTTTAAATATATGATATATTTACTTAAATAGTTATATACTTATTATTAATAATTTATATATATAGAATATATATCTAGAATAAAGTTGTCTTACAAAACATGGACACATATGAATTTGAATCATACAAAATAGCAAGGAGAGAACTTTAGGTTCATTGGTAATATAGGGACCGTCCTTAAAATGCTTTGTTGTCTCTGAATATTTTCCAGGCAGAGTAACATGCTTGTTATCATCCATTCAGATATGATAATTAATTACAGATAAAGGAGCTAAAACTAACCACTTTCATTGCAATGATGTATGTCCAGTCTTGTGATGCCATTGAACCAGATGTCATTGTTTGGTGAAGAGTCAGCATCTTCAAACATACTACCATGCAGCCAGGATTTAGAGGTCTGGAGGTCAAAAAGAGAAGACAGAGAATGGCGGGTTCTCTTTTTCTTTCTAAATACTCTGAAAGGGAAAAAATGGTAGTATAAAGAATCATAAACAACAGTAATGCTACTCATGAAAATAATTGAATACACAGAGTTTTTCTCCACAATCCAAGTCCATGAAGCTCATTTCATCTTTATCTGCATAATCTTAAATTTCTATGGAACTAAGTTTACATGACTCAGTGTCAAGGAGAATGAGATAAAAGACAAAACCTTGGAAACAAGTTCATAGTCAAGGAGAATGAGATAAAAGACAAAACCTTGGAAACAAGTTCATAGTCTGTGAGAAAGAAAAAAATAATATAAATACAGAAAATTCTTGCACATAGTTTCTTCTGTATCTTTTAATTATCTACATATAGTACTTCACAGTATATATTTGGAATTGTTTTGTGAGAGAGATATTATTACCCACTTTTTAAATAAGAATATAGAGTCAAAGAGATGTGAAATAATTTTCTGAGATCTTATAGGTAGCCAGAGACATAATTGGGACAAACCTAGGTCATCTGACTCTGTTTACTGAGTCATGTAGGAGATTGTGACTTTACAGAATTAACTACTCTCACACCAGTAGACATACTGCTAATGGGAGACACTGAATGCTTTATTGAACATGACAGCTCTGGACTTTATGAGATGACCTGACTAGTTCATTAAAGATCAAATAGGCTTACATTGAGTTATGGCAGAAAAAAATTTTATAAAGGTAAGAAAAAGGTTGATAATGAAAAATCTTGAGGGTTATGCAAAGGAATTAAACTTTAATATTAGAGCAAAGGAAGACAGTAAGGTATGTCAAGGGGGAATGTGGGTGGTCATGTTGAGGTTTGGTTTGCATTTCTGAAAGATTTTCAATCACAGAGGATGGCATGCAGGGATAGACTGAGATTATAGAAGCTATTCAACATCCACAGGGAAGAAACGATGATCTTCTTTGTGATCTTTGTGATCTTCACACTTGTGCTCACTGTGTTACTAAACACTGTCCTCCCGTTGTTCATCAGTTTGCTAGAGAGGGCACAGTAACGTCTCCATTTTTTTTTTTGTTTGAGGATTGTTGTTACTGTGTTTGAATACGTCACAGGTTTAGGTTGTTAGGTTTTTCCCTGCCGTCAGGTAGCTTGCCCGGCTCTCCGAGAGGGGTGGAGGAATTTAACTTGGGTCAGCCATGTTGGCTGCGTGCAAGGCAAACGCCCTACCTGCTGTGTTATAGCTCCAGCCCAGGAATGCCCTCAGAAAATACTTTTGTTTTGATTTTCCTCAGTATTTAGAATTGGTTCAATTATAGTAAACACTGTACATTTACTTATCCCAGTGGTTCTTAATCACACTTATTTTGTAATAAGGGACAATTGACAGTTTCTGGAGAATTTCTCCAGGCATAAAGTCGGTAGAGGTCAGAGACACTGCTGATCATTTTACAGCCAAAGAATAGTTTGTGCTAAAATATCCATAAATTGTGTTTCACTCAAAAATCAATTTTATTTCTCTCTGTCATCAATTGCAGGGGATAAAAAGAAGATAGCATGATGGTAAAAGAACTCTTTCCTCTGAATACTAACCACATATTAGATTTTCATAGGTTCTAAGATAAGATCATCTTAATACGAATGGGCAAGATTAGAAAATTGTATGTTATTTATTCCTCCTTATATTTATTAACTAAAACACCTACAAAGCACCTATTTTGAAGGAGACTAATTAGATTTACAGACAAAACATATAGATAAAATATATCTCGTAACATGATCTGTACAATAAGGGATAAGGCTAAGGATAGTGGATAAGATTTGGGTTCTGACATCATACAACTTGAGTTGGAATCCGGACCCCTCTTAAAAACTAATAAGTTAGATTCAGGTGACATAGTGATAGTGGGGGAGGGTCATGGGAACTTTGGTGGTGGTTGAGTCAGTAACATTGTACACCACTATCATAAACTTTAATACAATTCCATGATATTAACTAAACTATAATAAAAATATTAATAAAAATAAAAAGTCACAATGAAGTGGCCTTAGGGAAATTACTTAACCTATCTGGACTTTTCTTAAACATACATAGTAATAATAGATAAGGTATTTAAGCAGAGATTGGGATTAAAAAAGAATATGTGTATGTATGTATATATATATACATGTATATATGTATACATATATACATGTAAGAATGGTCCATTCACCATCATAAACTCTTCTTGCTATTACATATATATCACATAATATGTAATATATGCAATATATGTATACACATATATACACATATACAGTCGGTGTTATACCTAGAATATAGATGAGTGATCAGTAAACAATATTTAACTAAATAGATAATACTTGTTACATGAAAGTTAAAATAGAAATTGAAATTCAATAGAAATTGAATGAAGAGAAAATGAGTAAATCACAGCCAACTAAAAAAAGACATATATTAATTAAAACACTAAGACTACAGCCTGAATCCCCATGGACTAGGAATAGTGCTGCCTCTCAATAAAATAAACAACACATTAAAAGTAGCACTGTAGCACTGTCCTCCCGTTGCTCATCGATTTGCTCGAGCGGGCCCAGTAACGTCTCCATCGTGAGACTTGTTGTTACTGTGTTTGGCATATCCAGTATGTCATTGGTAGCTTGCCAGGCTTTGCCGTGTGGACAAGATACTCTCGGTAGCTTGCCGGGCTCTCTGAGAGGGGAAGAGGAATCGAACCTGGCTTGGCCGGGCTGGCTGCACGGAATGCAAACGCCCTACTGCTGTGCTATTGCTCCAGCCCATTAAAAGTAAAAAAGTAAAGCCCCTCCTGTTGATCATCGATTTGCTCGAGCGGGCCCAGTAATGTCTCCATTGGAGACTTTGTTGTTACTGTGTTTGGCATATCGAATACGTCACGAATTAAATGACTTAATTCCTTTTGGATATACCATTTTCAAGAACCCTGTATTAAATTCAAGGGAAATAATTGAGAAGCTATTGGATATATTATATTGCTCAGAAAAGAGAATAAAATGAGATATACATGCCTGCTAAATTATAAGATAAATTTCACTCTATTTTGTAAATATTTATGCTTTCCATCATCACTACATCACAGAAGTAGAGTTCTATTTCCTTTCTGACTCCAGTTCACCTGTATAAATTGTTATTGAGGAATGTCTTTTTCATTTATTTAATTACAATACAAAGAATATTTTTTCTTCAGCCTACAGTCTGTAGACCGTAAATGAAGCAGACACAATTTCATAAAATAGATATGAAGTCAAGCCTAGTCTATTTCCAACTAAATCAGTTTACCCAAACCAAATAACAAATACATGTGCGCTCATTGCTAAATGTCACTGGGAGTTTATAGTGATTTGTTACACAGAATTACTAATATCAATAGATGACTTACACAGTTAGCATATGATAACTCTAAAGAGATATAATTGTGATTGCCCAACTTAAACTTTTTAATAGTAAGCTCATTACTTTTCTTTCTTTAAAACTTCCCCTCCTTTATTTCTAATCTTGGTAATTAGTTCTACCATACAAAGTTGACAAAGTTAGATTCTTAACTTTTGTGCAAGTGCCCTTTTTCTGAAGTTCACATATTGTAACAAAAACCCAGTCCTGCCTCTTATTGCAGAAAGGCCCCCCCAAAAGAGGTGATCAGAAGATTAGGAATTGTGGGGTGTAGGACACTGGTAATTCTAGAACAACTAGGCTTGTGGTTCAGTAAAGGACCTGATAATATAATGTTTCTGGGGATTCTCTGGGCCACCCAGAGAGGTTGAAGGCCTCCAGAGCCACATGTGGCTCTGTGGCTCAGAGGACCATGTGATGTCAAGATTCAAACTCCAGTTGGATGCACAGTAGGCACGCATGATAACTGCTGTACTTTCTTCCAGCTCCCAGTTCCTGTATCTTTACCAATCCATTTATTTATTTTCCCTGACTTTCCTCTGTTTATACTAGCTACAACTATTCTTCCATAGTGAATTCGCTGTACTCATTTTTTCCATCTACTCTCTTCCAACAATCCTTTCCCTTCATGTAAAGTGATGCCTTGCAAAGGATAAACATGATAGTTGTTGAGTGGTTACACTTTATTTGCAGAATAAAACTTTATCCTAGCAATCCCTTCCAAAGAGTTCCTGCTCCTATGCTCAGTCTTGTCTCCTGTAAGGCAGCTCATTTTCCACTCTAAGTTGTATCCCTGATAAACTATTATTCCCTATATGTATCAGAGTTCATCAGAACTGCACACCCATTTCTTTTTTTCTAGAAATTCCCATTCCTACTTCTGTTTTAAAATCCTTTAACTGGGCTGGAGCTATAATACAGTGAATAGGGCTTGCATGTGGCTGACCCAGGTTTGGTCCTCGCCACCACATATGGTCCTCCAAGCCCAGTAGGACCAACCCAGGAGAACAGAGACAAGAGTAAGCTCTGAGCATCAGAGGTATGGCTCCCGCCCTAAAAATCCTATATCTCTCAGATTTAGATCACCCCCCATTACCTCTTAGAAGATTTTCACCTGTCCTCATAGTAAAACTCTCTACTCTTCCTCTCCACTGCACTGTGTTTTTTGGCACCTAAACTTTTGTTTATTTTCAGGTTGATTATCCTGTTCTCAGTGAACTCCTTTATAAACGATTGTTGAGTGAGTAAATTAATGAATTAGTTGTGGATGAGTTGGATTTCAGATATCTTAGATACCACCCTCCACTTACCTCACTAAGTTTTCCTTGTACAGAACACTGGTCTGGGAGGGACTCAGAGTTATGTTGCCATTTTCATCACAGAGAAAACTGTCTTCTGTCCAAATGTAGTAACCATTGGTGAGAAGCCTGGGACTTCGTCGACAGGTAAAGTGGGAGCCTGTCAGGGGATCTATGGAGCAGCATTCATATGAACTGTCACTGTTCAGGAAATCACAGACAAAACTAAAGAGAGAATAAAGAAAAATATTTGAAATCTCTTCCAACACATACTGTTGCGTAATGCCACATTTCTAGCAACCATGGATTTGTAGTCCTAAGTGATATTCTGTAACACTAAGAATGTCACTAAATCTTCTGGACTTCAAAACCTCACCACTGAGAGCACTCAACTACATGTAGGACATTTAGTGTTTCTATTTAGAGCACTCTGATGAAAACATCGTGGCTCATCAGTTTCTTCACCAGATGATGCACCTACACCTTTGACATTAGTCCATTTTCTTACATAGAAAAATTGCAAAACAACTGTGGGATTATAAAAGCTCATCTCTATTCCTCTTCGGTTAGCTTTCCAATTTTTATATCCTTAGTTTTGTCATTGCAATATATTATAAGTACTAATAATATATTATATTATTATATTGTTATTAATATTATAATATATTAATATATTATATTGTTATATCATTAATATTATATTATTATATATCATAATAATGATTATAAGTAGAGTCGCCAAATGAATATGACTACATAAACATGTAGTCAGAGAGGTATTTTGGTTCTTTGTAAATTTTCCTCAGGTCACCCATGCAAATTATCATGTAGTAACCTTCTCTGATTTGGTAGCCAGGGAAATCTCCTACTTAGTTTGGTACATCTATTTTTAGTTGGAAAAAAATTATGCTTTCTCAAAAGGCTTTTGAGTAAGCATAATTTTTTGATGTTACTGACTGAAGTGATACCAATGTTCTATCAAGCTTCTGATAATTTTAAAATTCAAAAACATGCCCACAATTAACACGAGCACTAATATTAGTAAAATACTGTTTCAGTTAGACGTCATTGAAAAATTATTATGAGCTTGTTCTACACTTCAAACTCCACTTTACATAAATATCTCTATTTTATCTTCATTGTATCTAGAAGAGAAAAAAATGAGGTAAAGTAGGAGGGCTAAAGAGATAGCGAGTGGGTTTCATCCAAGGCACGCCATATGGTCAGTCCCCTGAGTCACACAGAAGTGATCCCAGAGTGAAGAGCCCTGAGCACTATTGAGTATAGCACCCAAACAAAAAAAAGTAACAAAAATCAATATTATATATTGCTAATAGAGTTGAAGTCTGAATCCTGTATTTTTCCAATTTGAGAGCAGTCTACTTTCTATATCATCTGTTTGTCCATATCTTGTTGATTTACTTGACTAGTAGGAGATTTAGAATTTACAAAGAGGGGAAAGAGCACAGACATTTTAAATTAATGCATGATCCCACACATTTCATATAGTACTAAAGGAAACATCAGCTGATGCCTACCTACATCAGGAATTAAAGATAAAGAATTCATTGTAGAACTTAAATAAAATGAGAGATTTTATATGTTTTTAGGAAAGCACAAAATTCAACCAATATGCATGCTGAGAGTCTCATTGTTCTTGTAAAATAGATAAAGACTGTATTAAATAAAAAATAACTAAAAAATAACCACATATGGGCATTCATTAGTTTTCCCACTAACTGAACAAATAATTCATGTATATTCACATATATGCTCCAACTCCCCCTCATTAGGTTAGGTTTTATTTTGTATGTGCATGGGAATAATAAAATCTATATCCATACCAAGATTGGATGGCACCTAATTTACCACTTTCAAAGCAGGAATGTAACAATATAGATATATAGGTGGATAAAAAGACTGTTCTTGGGTAAAGTCCCATAGAATACCTTGGGAAAACGCATGTTGAAGATCTCTCTCTGGGATATTCTCTTTTAGACCAATATCCAGGAGAACCTGCAGGAGAAAGTGAAAGAAATACACATGAATCAGACTTTACCAACATGCATGATCCGAACATAGGAGGCAGTAAAGAATGTGTGAATGGCAATATTTCAGTTTCTGCAGATACTTTAATTGATGCAATCATCCAATGAATCAGTACTAACATAGTATGTCATCAGTTCTCTCTAGAAAACTAGAAAAAAAATCTAAGGCTCCTAGCTTATCTCTTCTCTCATTCCACAATCCCTTAGAGGTTTCTTAGTGCAGAATGAGGCAATCAAAATCATTAGCATAAAACTGATTCATGCAAAAGAGGAAAATAGCATTTTTGGTGAAACTACAGGGGGAAAAATCAATTACCCAAGATACATAGAGGTTTTGTCACTTTTTTTAGCTGACTCAATAATTTGAGTAATTCAAACATTTGTCTGGAATCACTCTCATTAACACATATTGAAGTAATTTCTATTGTAAAATTGAACAAAAGACATTACTGGGTAAAAAAAAGTTTCATTTTGCTTTATATAAATATTTTTCTGACATATGAAGAGTATGAGTAATATTTTTCATTTTCCTTGTTTTTGTTTTTGGGCCACACCTAGCAATGCTCAGGGATCTATCCTGGCAATGCTCTGGGAACCTTATGGTTTGCAGGGAATCGAATCCAGGTCAGCTGTATGCAAGGCAAATGCCCTTCCTGTTGTACACTTTCTCTGGCCCAGAATATAAGTAAAGTTAATTAAAAATTCATCTATTGATTCATTCCATTTTAACCAAATGCATAGTAACAGATTTCAGTTTGGAAAAGTTGTAGTTAATCAAAATTTCAAAATGTAAAATAGAATTTTATATTGTATAGCAGTGGCCTGGTTGCTTCTAATAAGCAGGCTCAGTGAAATTTGATTTCATTACTGACAATACACAGGACAAAGAAAGGAATTCAGACTTTCAGATTGTGTTAATTGATTTTTAAAGAGAATATTATAGGTCTGTGAGGGAGGAAGAGTTAGAAGCTGGGTTTGGGGAGAAAATAACAAGAGGAAGGAAGAAACTCAAAACCACAACCGTTTTAGCAACGCCCTTGTTTTCTGTAAGTAGCTATCAAAATAATTCAGTGGTGTTTTTCAAATTTTACTAGATAACAGTTCTATATCTTAATAGTATTTGATAAAATGTCTCCTTTCCCATTTATGCACAGGCATCTGAAAAATGGTGGTTCTTTTTTTCTACTAAAATGAAAAGTATCACATTTCTCTCGAGGAAAGAAATATAGTCAAAATCATTGCCAAAGAGAACACTGGCATTTAAGAAGCACAAGCTACTGACAGATGGTTAATGGTATGAGTATCAGCAAAATCAAAGCAGGGAAATTTCTAAAAGAAGTCTAATCATTCAAAAGATAATTGCATTTAGCAGTGTTCCTACTTGTTACTGGTGTTGACATCAGTTGAGATATTCGGTACATCCTGGGAAGCTTCTTGTTTAAACTTCACAGATTTTCTGTAAAAGATATTCACAAAGGTGGATAATATACTAAAAATAGAAAATTGATGCCCAAACGGATGGTATATACTAATTGCATTAGTGGATTTGTTTACTGAAATAATACAGAGGTATGGGATAGAGGACCACTAAGATTATGAAAATCTCTATGATTATGTATTGTTTCATGTATCTAAATATTCTTTTTCACCAGGGATAGCTCAAAGGATAGTGTTCATTATTTGCATGCCAGAGGCTTGGGTCTGAACTCAAATACCACATAGTCCTCAAAATACTGTTAAGACAATCTTCTGAGAACTGATCCAGGAATACCACCTGAGCACCATAAGGTATGTTCTCCAAACAAGCAAATGGATCAATCATTAATCTTTTTGTGTCAATAAATACATCATTTTATCAGGTAAAACCAGACTTCTAAAAATTACCTTGTAATAAAAAATAAGAATGCAAACTAAATATGAAAAATATATAGGTTTTATAAATCCTTAAATAAATGTATTTCTATTTTATCATCCAACACACATCATCTAATTATCAAATTCAATACAGTGCTTGAGGACTGCTAGCTGTAATCTCCCCAACACCTCAAACCATTGATAGGTAATTACTGAGGGGTCTTGTATTTTTCCACTCAGAATCAGTCTAACCACTCCAAATTTTGTACCAGCATTGCACTAAAAATAGTATACCACTTGAAAGATTTGAAAGCTCATTTCTCATGGGCATTTAATTTACTTTTTTAAACTAGAAATTAAATACTTAACCAAGTATGTAAATTTTAATTGAATCTTCTACCACTCATCACCAATGGCTAGCATCAGCTGACAGCTAAGTTTTGTGTATATCACTACTTTATAACTTTACAGGGTAGAAATAAATCCCTTTGTGATTCACCACTTTTATTTACTTCTTAATGTGATAAACAATAATGCGATATTTTAGTAGTTGTCATATAGTAAATAAAACAGAGATAATAGTATAGCTTCAAATTGGGTCTTCCAAAAAGATGACATATAAAACCTATAAAAAATATAGATTCTGATCTATGGTGACTTTTAGGCAAGTTGAAAGAACTTTCTGGCATTGCTCTCAAGATTTCTAAATCAAAGCACACATTTTTATAGATTTCATTTGTTTGGAGTGCAATATTGTTTGCACTAGAATAGAATCATAAACCGTTTGTCCTTTTTGGTTTGGCTCATTGAAGTATGAACATGTTCAGTTCAAATTATTTTCCACAAGCATTAAGTTCAATCTTTTAATTAATTAAGTTTGCATTAAGTTTAATCTTAAGCTAGCAAGTAATGCAGAAAAAGTAAGGTATTAATATTGTATCTTACAAAAAGATGTAGCAATTTATAGGAAGTACATTAACAGTCATTGAGAATTCAATTAACATTGAAGACACTACAGTTAACAGTTTCAAAAATTTTTCAAGAAATAGTCTTAGTACCAATTCCATTAAAGTGATACATCTGCTCTGAAAAATTTATCATATATGTTTCTTCCCAAGGACGTCCCCAATCTGGTTTTCCTATTGATAAATAATAAAAAAAATAATTACTGAAATCTGAAGTTTTCTGTTGTTGATAGCAGAGAAATCCAGTGCCTTTCACATTGTCAGCTGAAAAGTTTCAGAACATCAAAAGGTGCAGAATTCTCTTCAACAAAGGGAAATCCATCTTTTCCTTCTCCTAATTGATTTCAGTACGCATCACTGTGCATGTGCTGGCATTTGCAGAGAAGTGTTGTCTCCAGCTGCCTTTTGCTTGTTTTCTAAAACAGAAGCTCATGTAGTTCTTGGGAAATTCAGTTCTACCACTGCTCTTGTTTTCTTTCAAAATCAGCCTGTGAAACCAGAGGCTCAGGGCAGAATGATGTCACACTTCCTGTTGGGCTCACATGGGTGGCATTCACACTGAGAAGCCTGGTAAAGACCTACGATAGTCTCCTGGACCAGCAGCAGTGGGCATGTTGCCCATGAATCAGGCCAGTTGGATACATCATGGTCACTACAGGGATGCTTTGCTGAACCAATCTGACACTCTTGCTGTGAGAACATAAAAAAAAATGTTCAGAGAATCAATGCTTCTTGCTTACAATCATCTGGTCATTTTCATCAAGAGTAGTGCACAGTACTAGCGCCCTTTGTCCAGATCAATTATATTTATCCATTTCCTTCCGACTGACTTCAGTCAACATGAAGCCCTCTAGTTCCACTGACATAGAAACAGCCCATATATTTCACTAATAGAAATTGCGTTATACCCAATTGTTTTAGGGCACCTGTCTTTGAGTAGTATTTTATGCAATAACAAGTTATAAATATTATAAATGTTACCTTAGGAATCATGATTATTCCTGTTACTTGGCTAGTGACTCTACTCCATTCGTACCATCCTCACACTATAGGTTTATTTATTCAATAACACCTCTGGTCAAATCTGCTTTATCAAATAACCATTCTGTTCTGCAGTTATACGGAATTTGTAATTTTCCTTCTCCTCCTTTTCCTGATCCTTTGTCTTCCTATTACTCATCCTCTTCCTTTGAATCTTAGCCAATATCTTCTAAATAAGGAGAGGAAATCATTTTTAATTTTTCAGCATCCTATGTTCTGCCCACACCCACAGAACCCTTCGGGGGTTGACAAGAGAAAGACTTAAGCACTTTCCTTTAAGGATCTGCAATACTTATGGTTATAACAATTGCTAACTTAGTGGGGCCCTTGTTATGCGACAGGAACTGTTCTTAGTGCTTTACACATATTAATGTATTTAATACTCATTATAATCCAGTGCAGGAGGCTCTGCCATGACCTGCATTTTACAGATGAGGCAATTGAGGCAGAAAGTTAGAAACTTTGCCCCAAATCCCCAAATCCAGCTAGTAAGTAGCTGGTACAATTGGAATTCATACCCTGTCAAGCTGGCTTTTGAGTTTCTTTTTTTGTTATCGATAACGATGATATCAAAGATGCAAGAGTATTTCCTATAAACCAGGCACAGCATAAAATAGTATATGGTTATGTCTCTGGTATCAGCTGAGAGTTGGGTCCAGGAACTTAGTTTCCCTACATATCAAACTGTTTGAATGTTCAATTCCTTCTGTGATATACATAGTGTATGCATGTTACCTATTCCCATGCCCTCGTGTACTTTTTGGGAGACCACACCCAGTGATACTCAGGGGTAACTCCTGGCTCTGCACTCAGACTCAGGAATTACTCCTGGTGGTACTCAGGGAAACATCTGGGATGCTGAAGATTGATAATACAGCCCTACTCATTGTACTATCTCTTCAGACCCAGGCACTCCCCTTGATTATAATTATCTAATATCAATCCCATGTAAATAGCCTTTACATTGTGTGGTTTAAGGAGTTCACTACAGGACTCAACCACTGTAGGGCTAACTACAATGAATGTATTTTCTGTCCTTGGTTGTTGGCTGAATCCATAAGTGCAAAACAATCAACATAGAGAGCCTCCTATATGAATGTCTTTTTTAAGCTTCAAACAGCCCCCGAGAAGAACACAGTAATTTTTATGTGGAATGGAAAAATAGAGAGTTAAATAAGTATCTTAATCTTATCAATTTTTAAAGCAAGAGTCCGATTCTAAGGGCACATCCTCTTTCTTACCTGCCTTTATGTCTGTTACTGTCTATGCTGTTCCTTCAACACCAGACTTGCTTTTCTTTGTTCGAATATCCTCATAATACTCAAAATTTTCTTCCTTATCTCCCTAGATCTTTTTACAACTGTCTTGGTCACTAAATCAGCCTCTATACATACACACTCTGCAGTCTTTCCCTACGTTATGGTTCTCTTTTGCTCTTTTTCACAATGCAGCATGCTATGCCATTTATTATTTCTAATATAAAACACAATCCTTAATTTTTAATTTAATAACCATGAAATGCAGTTACAAAGGTTTTATGTTTGCGTTTCAGTCAACCGTCCCCTGCATCTGCGGCAGACAATTTCCCCCACACTCTTACTCTCTACTTTTGGGCATTATGGTTTGCAATATAGAGATACTGAGAGTTTCAGTCATACAGTAATCGAACATCCATCCTTCTACCAGTGCACATTTTCCACCACCAATATCCCTAGAATGCCCCCCAACTCATCCCTCCCCCTGCTGCTATGGCAGACAATTTTCCCCATACTCTCTCTACTTTGGGGCATTATGGTTTGCAGTATAGATACTGAGAGGCTATCATGTTTGATCCTTTATCTACTTTCGGCACACATCTCCTGAATGACCCTTCCAACAATCATTGACTTAGTAATTCCTTCTCTATCCCAGCTGCCTTTCCCCGCCTCCGCCACCCCCAGCTCATGAGGCAGGCTTCCAACTATGGAGAAATATTTCTGGCCCTTGTGTCTTCTGTCCTTGGGTGTCAGTCTCCTATTATGTTATTTTATACTCCACAAATGAGTACAGTCATTCTATGTCTGTCCCTCTCTGACTCATTTCACTTAGCATGGCACTCTCCATTACCATTCACTTATAAGCAAATGAAATACAATCTTTAGTCATAACATAAGATTCAGGGAGTCATATCATTTCGTTGCAACATTTCTGTAGTCACACTATCCTTGGATAGTCCTTGTTATATGAAGCTAACAGTTTTTGTAGAATGAATAATTGGATTAAAATATATGTAGTCATGACTTCAGAACATTCAGGACCTTTGGATACTATCAATAATTGTTTCTAAAAGAATCTACTATGGAATTCTCAGCCCTCCAGTATTAGTGGAAGTTGTATATGTGAATGGGAGAAAGGAGCTAATTTAAGCTTATTCTTGTCACTTCTATTTAACATCATGCTTGAAGAACTACTACCCAGAGACAGGAAACAAGAAAAAAGAAATAATGGAACAGGAGTGATAGTATAGCCGGTAGGGTGTTTGCCTTGCACGAGACAGACTTGGATTTGATCCCCAGCATCCTATATGGTCCCCCGAGAACCGCCAGGAATAATTTCTGAGTGCAGAGTCAGGAGGAACTCCTGAGCATTGCTGGGTGTAACCCCAAAAGAAAAAAAGACAAAAAGAAATAAAAGGTATACAAAGCAGAAAAGAAGCAAAATTATCTTTATTTTGGGGGCTGATGAATCAGAACAAAGAAAAAGGAGTTTTCTTGCATGTATCAGACCTCAGCTTTCTCCCCAACACAACTTGTGGTCCCTTGAGCACTTCTAAGAGTGATTCCTGAGCTTGTAGCCAGTAGTAAGCCCTAAACAGGACAAGGTGTGGCCTCCATTTGTAAAGATTTGCAAAGATACAAATTATCTTTATTTGTAATGACATTATCATACTCCTATAAAATGCTAAAGATGGCTCAGAAAAGACCTTCTATAATATTAAATTAAGTAAAGTTGCAGCATAGAAAATCAATATACAAACATCAGATTTTTTGTATACAAATCATGGGCTGGAGTGTTAGCACAGCGGGTAGGGTGTTTGTTTGCCTTGCAAGCGGCCAACATGGCTTATCTAAGTTCGATTCCTCCACCCCTCTCGGACAGCCCAGCAAGCTACTGAGAGTATCTCCCCCGCACGACAAAGCCTGGCAAGCTACCTGTGACGTATTTGATATGCCAAACACAGTAACAATTGTCACAATAGAGATGTTACTGGGCCTGCTAGAGCAAATCGATGAACAACTGGAAGACAGTGACAGTGAAAGTGACAAATTATGAATTGACCCATTTCTCATTATATAATAGTATAAAAATAACTAAATATGTAACAAATTGTTCATTAATTTCCTCGAGCAGGAACCAGTAACGTCTCCGTTCGTCCTAGCTCTGAGATTTTAGCAAGTACCCTATTGGAGGCTCTTTCAGGGATAGTGGAATGAGACCTACCATTGTGACTGGGTTTTGGCATATCGAGTACGCCACAGGGAGCTTGACAGGATACTCTCGGTAGGCTGCAGGGTTCTCTGAGAGCGAGAACTAGACAACAAGAAGTTGTGTGGTCACGAAGGTGGCTGTACGCTTCCGCTTCCGGGAGCTTGGTTTTATAGTCTCTGGATCTTGGTCATTGATGGGATTACACAGCATGGGGGAGCAATTGGTGGGTGTAATTGTCTAGCTACTGGAAGATGGGGGATCTGGGTGGAGGAGGCTCAGTCCTGATCCCAGAAGACTTGGTGATCTCAGCCCCGGGTCCCGCACACCTGGGTTCCTCTGCCGGTTCCTTCATGCATGAGGCTCGTCCAAGCACGTGGAGAATGATTTTAAGCATGGCTGTGGCTGGGTTCTGGAGCAATATATATATTTCTTTATATACATAAAGAAAGTATAGGGGAAATAATAAAATGGTAAAAACATCATATCTTATGTTTATGAATTGGAATATTAATATGTTTGTCCAAACCACTGCACAGAATAACATAAAACATTAAAGAAAGTACAGGGGAAATACAGTACTGCAGTTTCTTAATTTTTTTCATTAGTATTTGGACAATACTCAAGGATTACTCTTGGCTCTCTGCTCAGGGATCATTCATGACTGGACTCGGGACCATATGGAGTGTGAGGGGCAGAGCCTGGGTCTGCCATGTATAAGGCAAGTGCCCTACCTGCTATATCATCTCTCCATACCCTACCTCCTTTACCCTTAAAAACAGAACAAAACAGA